AGTAATATGAAATCTTTTACGGATAGCTCAAAATACAAAAAAAAATACTCTTTTCACTGTTTATTCTAAATCAACACAATTTAACTCTCTAACTACCTGATTTAAACTCCGTTTACGCATAAGATAAAATAAATTCATTAGGATAGTCAACAAATTAATCATTTGACATACTCTGCAAGGTAACTTAAAAAGGATTTGAAATGAAGTTACACATAAAGTAACAAACATCCTCTTTTCCAAGTATGAAATCTGTTACAGCCAAATATAAAATAAAACTGAGATTTTGCAAATGATAACGTAGCAATGTTATCATTGCCGTTTGTTTCATAAACAATCTATCGTTGTGCGATCTCTGAGACCTTAAAAGCCTAAATATTACAATATTTTTCCTCTTTAATATTTTTCATGTGAAGGTGTTTTTCATTGAATAGCTCTAATTTGTTAAAAAATTTCAGCCGAACCAAAGCATGACATTTAACACATTTTAATCGATGTTATATTAAGGTAAATAGATAAGTTTATGATAAACAGATAAGTAAATGAAGAGCTAAATAAATAAGTTTCAGAAACATCAGTCCTCCCCGTGCGTTATATAATAATACCTATGCAATAAACTAAAAGAAATAAATTTCCACAATATGTTGCTGAAAAACTGTTAACTTGATAAGATAAACGATAATACCAGAATTGTTTGGTTTATTTGATTGGCTGCAAAACAGTCGAGAGTAATTTGCCTAAAAGGAGGACTGCCTTCATGGCAAAACTCTCTAAGGGAAACTGGGCAGGAGAAAAACCACGAAAACACCCATACAGCCAGCTCTTCGCCGGAATTTGAACCTTAGATCGAACTACTAGTGTTTAACTATTTTACCGCTCGGCCGCTGGTGGACCAGAATCACGTCATTATCAAGTTATTATTTTAATACGTGTTTATAATTATCTTAAAGTGATATCTTTAGTTCATTGCACATATAACGACAAAATAATGTAATTTTATTTTTAGCTAGTGTTATTCGTCCATAAAACAATTAAAATTATTTTAAATAAAATGTCTGAACATATCTATCATTGTATACATTATAAACAAGTTTTATCTATTAAAATAAAATAAGATATATGACTTTAAAATTCCAGAAACTCTTATATGTGGTTAAACATTTAAAGATAAATGTTATTTTCTTATCTTAAACGACAATTAATTTATTAATTAATTTTATTAAATGAGAACATTTTATGGTAACCTAATCTATTTATACACTTTAATGCAATTATTTAGAAACACAATGAAAATTTACATAACCATCACCTTCCGTAGAGCAATAGCTTATCTCTGCATGGTCATTATCTTGCCTATGAACCACTTCCCAAAGTGGCCAGTATTTCTTAGAATATCAATACAGGGAGGTCATAAAAAAGACTTCCCCGATGTATGAACTCCTAGCGCCCTATCCGCTCCACCAATCGGAATGTAATTTCAGATAATGTTATTTGAAGATAAGCGCTCGAGATTGTGATGGTTTAAAACATTTGAACCCTCACGATTACAGTTATAGCAAGTGAAAAAATTTCGAGATTTTCTAAATGCAACACCCACGTTTTTCCTGCGTAAACTAATCAACTCATTAGGAAACCATAAATGTAGTTGAAAAGAAGCACGCATGACGAAAGTTGCCCACTTAAAACAAAGAAGAATATTGTAAAGGACAAATGACAACACAGAGAAGAGGTGCATTGACGCAGTTTGCATACTTCACAGGGAGAGACAGTAGAAGAACCAATCGCAGAACACTATGTCAAAAACACTGCTTGCAGAAAACCTTTAATAATCAGAGTGGAAAAATTGTTTCTTAAGTCACATGTTCGAACGTGTGAAGAAGACGGCACTTAGAGGGTAACAAAGAGGTGAATTGATAAAGCGGTTTTATCTGAACGGGGGAAAACGCTCCCGGAGCAGTGCGAGTTTACCTTAAGACGAGCTTGAAGTTCCAAAAAATGTTTCTGATGAAACTGAAGGCACATCTGATAGACCGCGATCCGGACGCTTAATGGCAAACCGCACATTGAGTTGATCAATGTTAACGAATTTCGCTTACTGCGCATGCTCAGTGGTGTACCGCTGACGAAAGAGAAAATACTGGCGACTAAGCATAAGCAACCCTACATAAGCCTGTTCGTCATGTAGGTCTTATCGACTCTTTACAATTGCAACAGTCCATTTCATTTACTTACAATAATTTATTTGACCTTTAATTCAGTAATTTAAACTAGATTTAATCCTTAATTTGTTAAAGTATATATGAATGGAAAGCATGGTAAATATTCAATTATTTTTATTCCTCAGAAGTATAATCAGCTAATATATCTTGGATTGTTTCTTGTTTTGTAATCCTTTTTTAAAGAAAATTTGGGTAGTTTACAATCGACATATACACTCCAAGTAATGAAGCAGCTTACAACCTGATACGTTTCAAAACCTCGAATTGTTTGCGCCCAAGATAACACAATATCAACCATATACCGTATTTATCAAGGAGGTTATCTTCTTTTAAAATTGCTCCTTGGTATTTATTTTCTTTTAAAATTGCGCCAAAGTCGTAACTCCGCCAAATTCTCATTTGGGCATGCGCAGTACGCGAAATTCGTTTAACATTGATCAACTCAATGTGCGGTTTTGTTACGCGATCCCCGGACAACCATGTGTTACTGTTGAAGTTGTTTCGAAAGCATATAATACAATTACAATTAGAATACAATACAAGATGCATTGCATACTAAAGATGTGTCACCCTGAGTCTGGATGTACCGAAAACTCCAGTCCTGAAGCTTTTGCTCTCTGTTTTGCGGATCTTTCCTTACCAATTCCAGTGCGTCCAGTTTTTGCAACCTGGAGACAAGCAGCACAACACAATAAAAGTGTGTACGGCACCATCACATCGGCAAAATTGGTACAGTTCTAGCACATTAACTGTCCAGAGCATCCCTTGCTGCGCTGAAAGTTTATTAAAAAAAAACTGACGGCAGGCTCTCTCTTTCACTTTAAAGAGCCGTTGGTGTTTAATGCGTAGTATTACGAATGAAAGTGCGAGAATGTTAGAGAACAAATAAAACAAAAGGTTTTGCATACATATATATTTTATCTTTTATTTATTATATCTATTCATTCAAAATGACCCTATACAAAATTGTTCGATGATACATAATAAATAAGATACATAATTTAAAAAGTCTTTGTTGGTCAATGAAGAGTTTACTGTAGATACAGATGTTTCTATTGTTATAATTAAATTTAACATTTGCTATTTTACATTTTAGGAATATAACTGCAAACATCTTCTCTGAAATCATTCTATTAAATCTTCTCTGAAATCATCTTAAATCTTTTCACCGAATGTATCCACAAGCCACAATCCAAGATTGAATACCCAAGGTGATACTGTGTTACACGACAACCCAAGGTGTTATTGTGTTATACGAAGTTGATACACCTTTCTCATAGTATCGTTTATTATATTCGTTTAACAAACATTTCTTTCTTTTGTTTGTTGCACATTGTCGTATCCTTTATTTTATTCTGCTTCTCTTTGCTTTGATCGCCTTAATTTTTCCTTTTTTCGAAGTCTTTATTAATTATTTTTGGCAAAATAAAATAACATACAGCAAAAAATACTCGAACACACTGACCGTCTACGGGCGACAGTCTACCAGACGATCTTGCCACTTGACGAAATAAAGTAAAATACAGCAAATACCACCCGAATACACAGTATGACTGTCTACCAGTAAGATCTTGCCACTCACACGCGGCCGTGCACGAGCACGGAGGTTTTTCATCACCAAAGTTTTGGTATTTTTGAGGCGTTAATATGCGTATACCCTTTGTACAATTTAATTTTTTTTATATTTGCTTATGTGTTTTTTCATCTATCTAATGATGTATTTAGATTAATTGTAACATTTCTAGTTTCGAAGATGTAAGCATTCGCGCCCACCTTAAACAACGTCCTAATTTTCGCTTTCTTCTCAGTCCATTATGGAGGAACGTAACCTTACGTTAAAAACGAAGTAAAAAAGGGGAGTTACACTGCTTTGTACATTCTTCCTGAAACATGTTTCAGGGACTAAATATGGATTTTCACTTTGACAACAATATGTATAGAGTCTTACAAGAAATCCTAGCAGTATGTCTTAGAGGTTCAGTTGATCGGTGGCACACATGATGTTGGTTACACAAGTGTCTAGGAATGCGGTGTCAAGAATGGCTCAACTCGAGACTTTGGCGTTGGAGCACTATTCTGAAGACAAGCAACAACGTGTCGACTTTTCGTTTCTTTTTCCTCATCAGTTATGAAGAAGATAGCAGGTGGCCGTTGTGGATATTTATGGACGGATGAAACGTATTTCTCCTTAAGTGGGAAGTAAACTCCAAGAACTTTTTGTACTGGGCTAATGAAAATCTTCATGATGTGACAACAGTGCCTTTACACGAAGCTAAAGGGACTGTATGGTGCGGCATCGCAAACATATTTGTTCTCGGTTTGTACTTCCTTGAAGTGGTTATTTCCGCAGGTATGAAAACGTGTTTCATCATAAGTGTTCAGTATGCAACAATGCTGTGGAATTACGTATTTCCAGAATTTCAGCAGTGAAATGTTGTTCACGATATTGTATGGATGCAAGATGCTGCTCTATTGTTTTAAATCTTCACAATCTCGAGTGCATACCTTCAAATAACAATATCTGAAATTGCCTTTCAGTTGTTTGAGCGGATTGGCCACTAGGGGTTCATATTTTTATTAATAATTTTGTGACTACACTACAGCCATTGCTATTGAATATAACTGTCTAAGACGGGCACCTCTGTATGAGACCAAATTCATATAACACCGTGAGAGGTTGTTTTGAAAATTCTTCACTATATTTTGATGACTTAAAGCGTCATAAATGAGAAAGCTGTGAAAAGAAGTTTGATTTTGGTATGAATATTAATTTTTTCTACTCACCCCGAATGAGCTGATTAAGGGCTTAGGTAATCCCGAGGTACCGGATGTATAACTGATGAATACAGGATGCGAGAACGAGACTTGCTCGAATTTTAAAGGCGGAACAGTGCCATCGGGCTCTTTACCCATTTCCAGGAACTCTTCTAAGAAACAGCTTAAAAAAAAATAGCATCAACTTAATTATTTTATTTATAATGGCTTAGGAAATTTACAGCAGCCTGCACTAAGATTACATTACTCTTACACTACAAAATGTGTACATGATTGTACACATTTATTTACATGATTGTACTATATATTTCATACAAACATGCATGCATGCTCTTACATATAGAAGTAGTACATCTCAGCGAAACCTCTTACGGCGGCCACATCCCTAAGACGACCATCATTGAATTAAACTAATGTTTTAAGAAACTAATTATAAAACGATATTGAACATCACTGATATTCAGATAGAACATCACTAATAGTTTTCAAGACAAAATCTCCACAAATTACTAACTCCTCTGCAACCGTGTTTGATCGTCTTAAGCAGGTTTTGCAAAAATTCTGGTAAATTTTTTAAATTCATTTGTCAATTCACTCTGCGTAGAAAGCTCGTGTAACTCGGATGCAAGGTAAATGTTTTTACCCAGAATTCTGTTGCCCGAGCCCGAGTTCGAATCCCGAAGAAGGTGAGGATGTTTGTAAATGTGTAATGCTGCATAGGGGACTCAAAATATGCAGCGAATCGAAAGTCCCCTCGAAAGGTTGGTTGTAAGGGAAGAGAGGCTGGGAAATTCTCGGGTCCGTCCGCCTCCCAGAGTGCTCTTCTTCAAACCTGGGGCGGAACTGAGCAAAGTCGTACTGTCACCTGTAAGTTGTCCAAGGCTCTTGCCAAAGACAGATGCAATTTTGCCTCCTTTGCCACGGTGAATTTCGCGAGCTTGCTCTCATATCAGATAAGCGAGATTAGTCGCAACAACGTAGAATTCCGTTAACATGTTCTTGGTTCGAATACAAGGCGATGTTTATTCTTTCAAAATACCCTCCGGAAAACTCTGCCATCTTATATTCGTAGTTTAATATTTAAAAGCTATATTAAGACAATTTATAATTAATTCCTTTACTTTAAATACTGAGTTGAAAAAAAATTATTAATTTCACTTCACAATGACGTGTTATCAGAATCACCTATTTATCTTCCATTTCTAATGCCTTCGGGTTCATATCATTATTAGCATTTTGTGCCAATCTTTCGTTTTTTTTTTTTTTTTTTTTTTTTTTTTTTTTTTTTTTTTCTTTTTTTCCAAATATTTCCATTTTACATTTAGGAAATAGTTAAATTTGAAAATAACATTTTATAACGTTACAAAATCTATAACATATTTTAATTAGACTGAGAATATAAATGAAATGTTTTGCATATATTTCAAATTTAAAATCATTTCTGATACAAAATATCATATGGAATTCAGAAGTACGAATACAGCGTACCTGTTCTGGATTTTGCTCACATCTTTGAATTTAGAGTCCTCCTTCGAAGGCACGATAACGATTTTCTGAAGATCAGATAGTCCTATAATGGAGGAAAAAACTTTTTTTTATTTTAAGTTTTTAAAATCAGCTTTTTATTATATTTTTAAATCGTTCTTCCCGTCATATATTTCGTAAGACAGGTTAAAACGTAAGTAAAAACTCCTAACCGTTACCGATATTAATGATTTTCTAACTCACTGAACTGAGATTCAGTTTTTGGCAATTTATCGCAAAACAGAAATTAAATAATAGAAACAATGCAATAGTACTTAAATACCAATCAAAGTGTTAACTGAACTCTACTAAATGCAGTTCTCGGAAGAAATAAAATTGAAGTAGAACTAAAAGTCGCGAATTGCATTTTTTATGTATCAATTAAATTATAATTGTTAATAGAGTAGGAATTCGAACGCAATGATATCCAGTAAAAAGATAATTTTCTCAAACCGGGTATTGAAATGTACGTTAAAGGTAGGTTGGTTGGTTGACCTTTATTGGCACAAAATCTTGAAGGTTTGCACCAGACGAAAGGTGAATAAAATCCAATATGCACAAACACACTGTATAAGATGAATTATTGAAATGAACCTGTAATGATGATGAAGATATGGAGAAATGATTGAGAAATGCTCTAGCAACAGTTAGAGCAGGATAAAGGGGAAAAAACTTCAAATCATATGGTAAAAAGAGATGTCTTTTAAAAATCTTATGAGGTTGATATGAGGGTTTCTTCCAATGAGGTCTGTTAAGTTAACATTCGTAGAGTTAAAATAATATTCACGTTTCTGATTAAAAGTAGGACAGTAAGTTAAAATCTGATTGCCTGAAACGGAAACGTTTCAAGTGCCTCAAATAGGCTCATTACCTCCTTCCAAGAGATACTGATGTGTCAGTCTGCAATGACCAATTCGTAGGCGAGTCAACAGTACATCCTCTTTTCGATTCCCTCTCGACTCCCAATACTCCAAATTGGGTTTTACCTGCCTTAATTTGTTCAGAGTTGGCATTACAAGAGTTCTTGCCACCTAGACAAGATCTTTGTTCTGATGCATTTCCGTATGTCTGTAAAACGGACATCCTTTTCTGAGGTAATATCAGCAAATTTTGCTGCGATATCGGCGAGTTCATTGCCTTTAATGCCAGCATGTCCAGGCACCCAGCAGTACACAATAGAATAACCCGCGTTACTCAAACGCAGGTGGTACGTCAAAGGAACCACTCTTTTCACTTGTTTGCTGATAATGGTGGCTGAGACCCACTGGACTGCATTAGCATCTCCGTCAAAAGGTCCCATTATCAGAACTATTTTTAAAACTGGGCTGATATGACATGCGATTTTGAAACAATAGAGTTTGGAATTGCTTTTGAGCTGCCTTGTCGATCCTGTCTCGGCAAAAGGGCTGCCGATTCTATGCAATGCTAGTTCTTTGGCGCACTTCTAATTCTACTACAGGCTGAACGCAGGTACGTTAAAAAGCGAAATTAAGGCATTCTGGCTTTCTTTGCCAATAACTACTCGTATTCCTCTACATTTATAGCTCGACATCCGCTATAACGTTTTAAGTACCAATTTAATTTGCATACATTCGAAATATATTTCGAGTTGAGTTGGTCAGGAGAAGCAAAGGACAGGAGATTAGAATAGCATTTGTTAATTGAATATAATGAAGCAAAGAATAGCAGAATTGAAAGAGTGTATAGAATGTTTAAGAATATATATATATTTAACAAAGTTCAAATTGAATTTAAATTTTGAAAATATTTTATATAAAACATCGGTTTTCTATTTTCTATAATATACTTGTGAGTTTCTTTACTCAGTTTATATAAATTTAATTTTTCTTCATTTCCAGTGGCAGAGAGTAAGACAAACATTGCACAAATGAAACTGAACTTTTATGTGAAGATTCAACATAAAAAAGTCAATATATCATCAATTGGCCTCTACACCGTTCCCATACCTTTCCACCTTAGAGGCTCCAAGCAGCACCGGGCACCTTCCGATGTGGGTCTTGTCCATCTCTTAATTTAAGCTGCAAAGTGGCCAGTTTGAAGAATACTAGCACGATAGAGATGCTCGCCAAGCAGTCGTGACCAATTTATCACGAAAGTTTAAAAATGTTTCTCCAGTTTTCCTAAACCTGTCTTCTACATCCTGTTTCACCATAAGTTATTGTTGGTGTATGCTTACACAAACTATAAATTAATATTTATCAATCTTTTGAAAAAACTCGAAGCACCAAGGACTTTTGCGATGGTGACGAAATTTGGTATGCAAAAACATCTTGATCGAACAGGCAAATGATCAACGTTTAAAGGTAAATGAACAGGAATTGCGATCATCGCGCGCATTTCTATTGCGCAATTCGCAAAGTATAAAACCAGTCACAGAGGCAGAAAATTTATCTTTTTTTCTTGCTGCTATTGTAATTGCGTAAAGTAGCAACTGAAAAGATGCCATTACAACAATATCGACCTTACAGACAACTAAACGACTTCGAACGTGGTCGCATCGTAGGGTTGCGGGAAGCTGGGGGTCACACCAAGCAATAGGCCGCCACCTGCTGCATATCGACAGTTCTGTGCAAAGATGTTGGCAGCAAGGGTTGTTACAAGGAAATTGCCGGCGAAGTGAAGGCTCTGGAAGGCCAAGGATCACAATTGCGAGGCAAGATTGCGAGGCACAATTGCGAGTGTTCGCCAGGCCCGAACCGTCCCAACGGTATCATTGTCAATTATTCAACGCACTACACTCAGGTCTGTACCTCCCGTGGTACCTTCCACCATCTCACGGCGCTTATCTGTTCATCTCACGGCGCAGTTACCCTCACAGAGGCCTAAGGCGTTTGTCTTTGACACCTCAACATCGGAGGAGTCGTCTGGAGGGGTGTCGCAGCCGATTATCATGGCTGCCAACAGACTGGTATCGTATAGTGTTCGATGAATCCCGCTTCGCTCTTGAGCAGAGATGACCACCGTATGTTCGTGTCTGGAGAAGGACGGGCCAAGCTGTTCCCAATCAGCCCTTTGTTTTACAAAGGCATACAGGTAAGTAATAACCCCTAAATGTGATGGTGTGGGGCGCTATTTCTTATGACAGCAGGTCGTCTTTAGCCATCCTTCGTACATCTTTAACAGCTCAACGATATGTTGATACCATCTTAAGGCCGGTTGCATTACCCTTCATGGTACGTCATCCTGGAGCCATTTTCCAACAAGATAATGCCAGGCCACATACCACTCATATATCTCTAGACTGTCTTCGTGCGGTTGATACTCTTCCTTGGCCAGCAAGGTCACCAGATCTTTCACCAATCGAGCATGTCTTGGACATGGTAGGCCGCCAAATTTGGGCACCCGAATATATCGCAGATCTGGAGAGACAACTGATGAATGCCTGGCAGAATGTGTCGCAGGATGACATTAGGAACTTCTAGCAATCCTTGCCTCGATGAATTCAAGCATATATTGCCGCCAGGGGCGGTTCGACCAACTACTAATTTGAACACTCAAATGGTGATTGTAACAGGTAGTATGATTTTTTAATCATTTTATTATCTGTGTATGAGCTCTACAAGTAGTGAATTTCATCAAAAACAACCACTTCCTTCATGGTGCTTCGATTTTTTTTTTCTTCAAAAGAGTATATAGTACACAATTTACGAAACATTATTGTTGTATAAGATAAATTAATTTGAAAATGTTTGTCTGATTCATTACTTGCCAAATTCATTGTAAATGGTTTGAAAAATTTACGATTTCTTCAAGCTAAATTAGATTTTTTTCTGTTCATTATTGCTTAAACAAACAAACACACACACACACGCGCGCTCGCGCGAATACAAATTAATAACCGCCTAAAGATTAGCCTGAGGATTCAACGAAAATGTGATGGAAAGCAACGCGTTGTCATCTTGATTTTGTCGTACAGATAATTCGTGGTACGGTATAAATATAAAAAACTAATACATAGCATTCACGTAGCTTTGTATTGTAGAGATCAACCCATGAAACAAGCACATGGAATATCAAGTGTTTTGTTTTTGGTGAAGTTTGATCGCTTAAAGATTCCTGCCCATATATCATCTTAATATTTGTAACAGCTTTTACGAGCTCGTAATATGCAATTCATTCTGAGCTCTGTTCTAAATATTTAATAGGAAAGTTTAAACGTTTCTCATTTAATTGGTTTCGATTTTCGTAGCTGTCTTATCTTAAATTCTTCTGCATAATAATTTGCGACTGCTATACCCACTTTCTCGCCATTTGAAGCAATCCTTTATGAAAAGATATTCTCGGGCACTTCAGGTTTTTCATCTTGATTCACGAGGAAATTTTCCGAGAATTCCAAATTTTGCAAGAGTGAAAATCTTTATTATCTTTGAGTATCTTTGATAACAGCCACAAAACTGGAAATTCTTTACTTCAGGTTGCCTGTTGTCGAATTGTGTAACGTTTTCTCATCTCTTGTTTCTGTAAACCAACGACTAGTTCCTCAAGTTCCAAACTTTCATCTAGAAATCTTTGTTTGTAACTTTCACTTAATCTTTTTATCTGAGAATACTGAACTTTGAAAAAGTTCAATGCTAATCTATAGCATTCGTTTATTAGCCAACTCACAACCGTCCCTTCCTTACTAGGTTTTAAAATCTTGCATTTTCTGTCCCATATTTCTAGCGGAGAAAAATGAATATAATTTCTTTTGTAAACCAAGTACCTCAACAGACAGAAGAATTAAGGCACAATAACACGCCGAACAAATACTAATTCAGAAGTCAAACAACAAAAATCAGCGTTATATTTTCAAACTTTTCACAAGACTTGTTTCGATGGTTTTTCCGAACCACCATCCTCAGCTGCAAAAACGCAAATACTGAAGTCGATTGATCGTAAAAAGAACTGAAATTCAGCTGATATGAAAAGACTAGCAAAATGTTTAGGGGCTGATTTATTTAAAGCTTGTTTAGATGGGATTTTTAAATTTAGCTAGCTGTTCTAATCGAGACTTTTGAATAAAATCACAGTGAAGATTCTGTAGTTATTGGAGCTTCAGGACGGAGCGGAAATCGGCAATTTTTAAAGGAGTGTAGAGTTCCTCACTTTGGAATTCTAAGTTAATGTTGGAAGTGAAGAACCTAAGAACTGATAAGTGAATAATCGCTAGAGTTCGGTGGCAAGAAACAACAAGATAGAAGGGTAACTAACCCTTTATTATTCCAATAATATTTAACAAAACTCCGCCTGGGAGTGTACAAGCAAAGCCCGCACTTGGACTTGAACTTAAAAGACTAAGAATTAAACTAAAACTAAGATTAACTAAAGAAGTATAGCCGAAGCTATCAGAGCGTAATAACAGCTTTGAGAGAGAGAGTGGCCAAAAAGGTAGATGCGCGTAAATCAGAAACTCTGATTCTCTCTGACTCAGTAAGTAACTTCGTGGTTTAAATACCGCTCCTCCTCATTAAATATTCAGCAAGATTCCAAACTACGTTCTGGCCGGAAGTAGTAAGTTGAAGTTAAGAATTTGACAGGAAAGGAACTTTAACTTAAAATTTAACTGTTAATAAAATTAACACAATCCTTACAGGAGGAAGGCAAAAAAATGTCAAAATTTTGAAAATATAACGCTGATTTTTGTTGCTTGACTTCTGAATTAGAGAGAAGAATAACAAAACAAATGGTCAATTATATTGTTTTTTAATATTCTCATGACTTGTTTAATTTTATCTACAATAACGCATTTCAACATATAGCTTCCAACATTATTAGCACAGACTAGAAGCTTCAATAACTGCAGAATCTTCACTGTGATTTTATTCAAAAGTCCTGATTAGAACAGCTAGCTAAATTTAAAAATCCCATCTAAACAAGCTTTAAATAAATCAGCCACCAAACATTTTGATAGTCTTTTCATATCAGCTGAATTTCAGTTCTTTTTACGGCCAATCGACTTCAATATAACTCAGCGAATATAACACTTGTAACAGCATTGTCTATTCAATATAACACTTGTAACAGCATTGTCTAAAGTTTCTTCTCTAAGCAATCTCTTTAGATTCACTACATCGCTTTTCTTTTCCACATTAAACCTGGACATAGAATTCAATTTTCACCAAATAAATCAACATCAATTTTCAGGTTTCTCGATCATCACATAGAGAGAAAATGCTTAATGCTTTTATTCAACACTTAAACGTTGAAATTTATGGAATAAACCTAAAATGCATCGATATGATAGATAATGTAATAATTACTATCTTGTGGAACATAATTAAAGATTTAAGATACATGTAAACTGCAAAGAAACTTCCAGCACTTCAAGAACAAAAGATAGGATTTTCTTCTTGTTTCATTGTAAGGATCTTAAGTTCTACTAACGTTTATTTTGTTTCAAAACTATACTACCCCCTCTTGTTTTCCACTTCCGGCCAGAATTAAATGCGTTAACTTGTTTATGCAAATTGTACTTGCTAAAGCCCAAGTATTTAAGTTGTGGTTTTTTTGCCAAGAGTTAGATAGAGAGAAAGTGAGCCGCCTTGCCACTGCATTACACGCCAGTTTTCAATCGGCTGCTGTCCGCCTTTAAGGCCAGAGGTTTAGTCTTCTTGATATTTAAAACGTATTGTAGTTTTTCGGCAGTTTGCGTACTACATATGTAATATTTTAAAAGGCCAGTCTTAGGTATTCGTCTCTTTCAGGTATTTTAGTCTTAGGTATCAGCTCCTTATTTAAAATTTTAGTTTGTAGTTTTATATTTTTACATTCAGACCCCAAGTGGTTGGTCTCTGTATCCCGACGTACGGGAGCACCTGTAATATTGTATAAAACAATGGGTACAGTTAACCCTTCTTGCTTGCGTTGTCCATTTCGCACCTATTTGAACATAGCTTGAGTAAACTCCCTGTTCCCAGTCAGGACACGTCATGTTCCCAAAACGGATTAAAAGGAATACAAGTCCTGATACCGTTTCCTTGAATTTAATCAAATAGGAATATGATCTCCAGGGGTCTGATAATGATCTCTAAGAGAAAGATGAAAAACTAATTTCACGAAGATTCTAAGAGTGAAAAAAAAAGTGAATATCATTAGGGTATATTCTGAATTAATAGAATCCTAGCTATCGAGGAATGAATTACTGTACACAGAATTATATATTTAATTATATATTTAGTTTTTAGTAAACAAAATTTAGTTTTGAAGTTGTTAACCTATCACTAAGCTTTGACCTGCCAAAAAGGAAACGGAATTAAATGAAAATCTTAAATAACTTATATTAAACTAACTTTAGTAATTGTTTTCAGCTTTGCTTAACTTAATAGTCTCAGGTAATATATGCGATGCATAGAATGTTTCAGACTGAAGTTGAAATTAAAATTTAATCTTTACGGATTATGTAATCGAACGATGTATTTCGCTGCATATAAAACAGAAATGTTATTGTGCACAATCACCTAAAATCGGGCATCTGCCAAATCGAAAGATTTTAAATACCTATTAAGAAACTATTATTTTCTTTCTTCCGTATAATACATATAAACTATAAATATCTGCTCTAATAATTTACTTTCAAAAAATTTAACAAAGTTGAATAATTTCAGTGTTTAAAATTACTCATATAATTAAGGCTATATCTACTTCCCAACTTCAGTATTTAACAAATGAAAAGCTAGAAAAATACTTGCCATCTGCAATCTCTTTCACCTTTGTCAGCATTTCAATTTCCATTTTATTATACTTGAACCTGTCTATCGTGAAAAGGATCTTAGGTTTTACTTGCTTGAAACGGTTGATGACTGCCTAAATTAATTGACATAAGTCCATCATATATTTTAACATACAGCATCATACATAATATTCAAGCATTTGTTGTTTCTTAAAAATCATAAATCGCTTTGTGACCTTAAAAAATTGTTTACTAAACACACAGAAAGAAAATTCCCTACATTTAGTTGAATAGTCAGAGCTTCTTCTTTACTTTTATTACTTATTCATATTGACATTACTTATTTTTTGAATATAGCAATTTTGATCGCTGCAAGATAATACTATTACATAGTGTACTCTTGCAGTCCCATCGAAGATTAGAGATACCCAATTTACTGATATGTTTAATTCCATTTGTTTATCATTGCTCTGGTCCAAAACAGGCAAATTATCGACAATTTAGTGACATATCCTAGATTTAGTGATACTTATTAGTAAAATCAGAATTTTCTGAAACTATGCTCAACTCTCCCATCATACTAAAACACATGGCGTTTTCTTCAAGTTTGCTGTTCTCAAACTTCAGTTGGAAAATAGCTTTGTATTTTTTTTAAGAACAGCTTCTAAGAGATTTCGACAGGACAGTATTGTCAGCACACGGAGAACATTAACATATTTTTAAGTTAAAAAGATTAATTCCAAATTTACGTGAGAAGTTTCTGAGCAAAATTATCTATCATATAATAAGAAGCTCTAAGTAGGGTAAGGATACCAGCAGTACGTCCACTTCTGTTGATTCCCCACAGCGATCACCGCAATGTGCATCTATTCTTTACTGCATTGGATCTACTGTTATGTTGCAATGAACAAACGGTAACGATTCTTTCATTTTGACGATGAGATCATAATCACGTGGACTCATATCGTGCAAGTATGGCTGGAATTCCAATATCTCCTATCGCTTCCATCACAAGTAACCCTTGCCAATGCTTTCAGTATGACACCGCGCATTATTATGAAAAATTATGGGATTCGAGACCTGAAAAATTATCTGAATCCAGCACTTAGACGAAATCGACAACATTTGTTGGTGAAAATTAGCAACATTCTCAATTATAGTGTGCGGTATTAATACTGCGAACATACGGATCTCATACAATAATGGCAGCTGGAAGTACGTCTTCGTCAAAATGAAGAAATTGATGCTGTGGCTCTGTTACCATAGTACCGGAAAGGTTGTCCGTGCTTTAGAGTGGTCATTGTGGAATATAGACAGAAGTAGACGTGCTGGTAGTGTATAAAGCCTTCCAGTAATTTAGCGTAAGGTGGCAGACATATTGAGAGATTGTTAAGTATTAACGAGTATGGTCAAAGAGTCTTTTCTGAACTATCGACATGTTGCTACTAACTTTTACCCAAACCCTGCAAGCAGATGTTTCTTAAAATGCTTCTTAAATAGTATTAAACTACAGTATATGAAATTTATAGTCCAAAAAATAAAATTTATAAAGCATAGTATCAAAAGAATTATTTTTAAGCCAAGTACCATAAACTGGCTCCTTCAAACGGAAGGAAAAGATCTAAACAGCAGTTTTGCAAAGCGACATCTTCCAAGCTGGTAAAAAACGGTTATTTGGAAAACTATTTAGTTAGCTCTGTTGGTGTGCCACCAGATTTGTACTTTATACAGGGTGGGTCAAATAAGACCTACCAATGTTAAACACAAATAGCTCTTTTATTTTTTTATATAATTATTTTTTTCTTTTTGTAGGTTGTAATTGAATTCTTGGAAATTTATTATGAAACCATACAGTACAAAACAACGCGTTAAAATTATCGAGTTTTTCTATATTTATTAATTTACGTGGTTTTGATCCAAGTTCTTTTGCAGAGGCGTTTTTAACCAGCTAACTGTGATTGACGAGTATACTGGTCATGGAGAAGCGGCACGATTTTGTGTATTGATGAGTATACTCGTCATGAGTATAAAGCAGTATAAGCAATGTGCGTATAAAGCAACGCAATAGAAACAGAGAAAAGAAAAATAATAAAGAAACCGGAGCTAGTGATTGATTATAATCAAAAAATGGGTGGAGTGGATATGAGCGATGGAATTATCATAGCGTACTCCACAGTAAGAAAACGACGCAAAAAGTACTACAAAAAGATATTTCTCCATTTCTTAGACATTATGTGTCTGAATGCATTCATATCATATAAAGAAATAATGGAACATTATCGCGTATCAACGTTTTGCTCAAATTTATTGAAGACACTTTTGCGACGTATCCAATTGAAAGAAATTAATCGACACAAACTCGGCCATTTAGACCTAATATAAGCCAGTTAGGCAAGAATCATGTCCCGGATTATATACCAGAATAAAAAAACTAAGGGAAGGTGTTCGCATTGCTACAAACGTAAGATCAGGAAGGAATTGCGTTACTGGTGTTCGATTTGCAAAGTCCCATTGTGTATAGTACCCTGTTTCGCTGAATATTACTCCACAGCAGGAATTTAAATTCTTACTTTTATATGTATAGTATTTAATTTATTGCGTTTTTAGTTTAATATGGATGTAATATATGCTTATGTTAACGAAATAAGTAAATATTAGTAATAAAATTTTCAATTTTATAAAATAAACCCATCTTTTTCGTTCAATATCTTACCAGTGCAACTTACTCTGTGATTGACGAATATCCTCGTCATGGCTCGATTCTGCCGACGCAAAAGTTTTCGCACTCTTAAACGAGAGCGCCACAGTTAACTGGTTAATTGATACTCATATAAATAGTAATTTATGATAAATTAGAAGCGAATACTGAACCATCCGATTCCGAAGGAAGACAGAATGAGAGAAGAATATATGAAAAATCATCTCTGAAGGAAATGAGAATCTTCGAAGTATAAAATAGCAGTTGTTGATGTTTAAATGTGAATGAGACTATTTTAAGCGCTCGTTACTCCCAACAGAATAGCGGACAAGTGTGCTTAAAATTATATGCAGCAGAGTTGTATTAATGAATTTAAATAGTTTCATTGCGTTTAAAATATAAAACTATATATACTACTGTTAGGAGAAATTGATATTTATGCAGACGGGTCAGGTCTGGGAGACGCCATTGCTTTCACATATGTTATATATTATTATGGAACAGAGATTGAGAATGATAAATTTAAACTCAAAATTTATAACTCAGTTTATCAAGCGGAAGCTATGGCTATTTTTAATTTACTGAAATGGATTATGAAGACTCTTAAAGGGAAATATGATACACATATTTATTCTGACAGTTCTTCAAGCTCTCTCACGACCTAATCAAAACAAATCTTTAATTGTAGAAGTTAGAGAATCATATAAAGACTTAAGAGAAGATCAAAATATTGTGTTTAATTGGGTGAAGGCACACGTTGGACATTTTGGAAATGAGAGGGAGGACGCACTGGCCAAGGAGACAATTACCGATGTTAATGCTCGCGATATTGATGTACAGGGATCAACAAGGAAAGCAGTGACTATTATGAAAAATTATATTTATGATAAATGGAGGGAGGAGTAAGAAAGGTCTGATCGAAATAAAAGTTATATGGAATTTGTTAAATTTAAAAAAGGTTTATGTTATTCAGACATTGACGTTTAACCAAATCATTACAGGTCATCGCCTTTTCCCTTTCTATTTTAAAAGGTTTAAATTACAAGGTCTGACCTCTGTGATATCTGTAAGAACCGGCATGCGGAGCATTATGTGGAAACATGTAAATATTTTACTGATACAGGAACGAGTTTAAGAAAATGATACGTTAATATAATGTTATTTTTTAAATGATTTTAAAAGACTGAAAAAAATTACCAGGAAAATGATGGAGAAGATTAATCATGATAAGCTTGCAGTAGGGATTTTAATTTGAATTTGGTTTTTTAGTTATGTTCTTTATGTCTGTTTGTTTGAATGTGTTGTTTCTAGCTTTCTCTAGCGCAGCCCGCAAAAAGGCCATAGGGCGACGTAAAGTCTGCCAGGAGGGTCGGGCTGCGTCCCTCATATCATATCTTATATACTACTATAAATAAGCATTTCAGCATTTTATAATGCATATAACTTTCCAAATTGAATAAAGAACGAATTTCCATTGAAAGATTTGTATAATTTATCAGTTTTCATTTTCAGACCTCGACTTAACTAAAGTAAAATAAAATAGGGGATTTGTGTATAGCTTAGTTATGCCTACATATCATCATACATAATATTCTTTAAGTCACTGGATAAACGAGACCTTACAGTGTTTCATAATATATGAATTAAGTTACAAAAGCTTAAAAATCTTCCTTCAGTCATTCCTTAAATGTATAGTTTAAAAAAATCTGACATAAGAATACTCATATTATAACTATTGTAAAGTTTTAATCCTATTTAGTTGAAAGTATAGTAATTAAGGTTTTATGTGTTACCTCAGCTCCTAATTGCGGTAAAGCTCCTGTAAAAATAGCTCCAATGCTCACAGCACCAAGCATGGCAAAAATGGCTTCTCGTCTGTTAGACAAATAACCTGAAACGAAAACAAATTGGTAAATGACTACGTGATTAATGAATGCAATTCTTTACAATATCTGTACAAAACTTTAAAGGTGTTTATTGCAGTCAGTTTTATATTTTACCATTTGAATATGTGAGTCAGTGGATATTTCGAATTGGATAGCTTTATTATAATTAAAATTTATAACGAAATAATAAAAATTTAAGAAAGAGATAATAAGTGCATTTGCTCTACAGGTTAGTTTAAAATTATTTACAAATTATGTTTTCGAGACTGGTTATTAAGTTTATCACAAAATTTTCGTACTGGGCTAAATCAGATATTTCGTGACTGAATTGCAGAACAATTTAATTGAGTATTTCCGATTCCTAATGTTTAAACTCTGATCAAATTTGCTGAGAGACCGTAAAACATTTCAAATCCTATGCCTATTCTTTGCAAAGCATTGTAAGTTTTAAACTTAATTACGTATACAAATCGTTTAAAATATATAAATGCAGGAACAGATACTGTTTATTTCAAGAGAGAAAATTACGTGAAACAACTTTTAAATAACATCCTTCTAAAGCCAAAAAATGAGGAGTATTTAACATATGGCGTTTTACCTTCATTAGTTTCCTGTGATTTACTCGAAGTCTGAATATATTAAAGGGAAAATATTCAGGACAGAACTGCCGCATTACTGATTAAATACAATGTTATTTTTCAAAAAATAAATTTTATTAGAATGCTTTCCCATCCATCATATATACATACTAAGCTATGATACAGATAAACCTACACAGAATAAAAAGTCGCGCTACTTATGCACGTTAGTTACTAATTGCTTCTAGGGAGTTAGTTCTTCTATCAAGTCGATAAATATTGTTACGAAATGTACAGGCGCAATAAGATGGCTTCCCCGCAAAGCAATTTTAGGGTTGCCATAAAATGGCAAAGGAAAGCAGGGTTGTCACATTTGGCGGGAAATCGCCTATTCGGGGACATATGGCGGCAAAATTAACGATATACCATGGACGGTTGGAGAACCTTCTGGAACGAATTTTTACCGGTTTAGTCCAGAATGTTCCCGAACACAAGCCGAAAGCTATATAAACCCTGCTGGTCCACAGTTAGTGAGTGTGCTTCATCGAGAGGGCGAGTCAGAGTGTGCCTCGTCTGAGTGCGAGACAGTTAGTATAGAGTTCGTGTCTCGTCTAGCGAATCAACCCCTGCGGAGTCGATCGAGATGACAGCCGGGACTCGAGTGCCGAGTGGGTCTTCGAGTGTACCGAAGGAGTCTCTTAGTGCATCGTCGAGAGGGCATGTTGAGCTCCGGGAACGACTGAATCGAAGAGTTGGGAGCTGTGCTCTGTGTGTCGAGTGCATCGCGAGTTGCAGCGTGGAGAGTCTCGAGAGTACGTGGAGTTCTGAGAACAACCAAGCAGAGTCTGGAGCTGTACTCTGGTGCTTTGCAGTGAAGCTGTCTCCACTGTGATAGCCTGATAATCTGAAGGCTGTGCCGCTGATTGTTCCAGCGAGTGTTTATAGTAGATCTTCGACGACTGTAAAAGTGGAGCTGTCCTGATTAAATATTGGCCCAATAAAGTGTGTTTCGATACTTCATCAAGTGTGTCGTCGTTATTCACTCCAAATCTACGAACCCCGTACGAACGTGAAGGAATAAAAAAACGTAACAATATCTTAAAATACGCACTTCTATAACGCATAAATAAAAATGCTCACATTTCATTCTTCTATAAAACACATTCTTCTATAAAAATACATTTCCATGCACGTTCTTCTATAAAAATACGCACCTTCTATAAAGCTGTTTTGAGAACAGCAAATACTTATAATTTAATCGCTTTTAATATGGTCTAACAGTTGCAAGCTCATTAAATGTATCACACCATTTCCGAGGTAGAGGCGAAATTTATATTTTCATATATGATCACTTCCAGAATGGTCCCAGATCTGGGTTTCACAAAATAAGGAGGTGATCCCACAGAGTGGAGGATAGCGAGAGCGGCTAAATGTAATGCGAGGTCTTCCGGAAGTATTTTCTTAATTAATAAGGTCCGAACTAATGAAGATTTAGTACATATAGAATTTGGTGGCAATACTCGAAAAGAGTGTTCCTGGCGCATGCAAGGGGTACTCAGTGCAATCGAGCTCGACAATTTTGACACTGGACACTTCATAATTACAGATGAAGTCTAACCACTCCTATTCTAATTGTTTCAGATGTATGGAAGGGTATGTCTGTGGAGAAAATCATGTGACCTCCATGGATCTTAGAGATTAATGGGAGACTGTACACGCTGATAATGGAATGCTGTTTATTTAGGTGGTATTCCATAAGACCTTTTGTATATCTACACTCATGTTAAAAAATTAAGGATAATACAAAATCAGGCAAAGGAAGAGTTAGAAGTAAAACAAATTTAACTTATTTGTAAAGCTTATTTATTAAACAAAAGGTAAAGAGCAAAACAAGATGCTATATGTTTGATATTATTAAAAAAATTAGCGATTTTTTCTCCCTGGAGCAAATTACAAAAAAAAAAAAAAAAAAATATTACATGGTTGGTATGATTTTTAATACATTGTATGTCTCCCAGACGATGCAATACAGTCCGTACAACGCCTAGGCATGCTGAGTATCAAATTATCGATCTGATCTTTGGAGATATTACACCACTCAAAAAGCAATGCTCTCCGAAGTTCCGGTAGACATCTAGGAGGAGGTTGACGGCTGCAACTCGTCGGCCAAGCATATCCCACACATGCTCTACTGGATTCAAGTCGGGTGAGAATGCTGGCCAGTCCATACGAGTGATATCCTCCGATTGAAGGCATTCGCTTACGATGTTGCCACGGTGAGGACGGACGTTGTCATCCATAAACACAAATTGTGCACCCCATGGCGCCCCGAAACAAACGTACATGTTGTTCCAGAATGACGTCCCGATAGATTTGGCTTGTCATGGTTCCAATTTGAACATGTTCAAATTGGAACCATGACAAGCCAAATCCACCCCAAACGAGCACTCCTGCACCACCGTAACGGTGTCGTTCAATGATGTTTTCTTGTTGGTAACGGGTACCTGGAGCTCTCCATATGAACGTCCGGCGAGAATCAGACTGCAAGCTAAAACTGGACTCGTTGGAAAACATCACACAAGCCCACTGTTGCGGTGTCCACAATGCATGCTCTCTACTCCAGGCGACAGTGAGTTGCAGTAAGTGGGACGCATCTGACAGGTCTACGAGCATATAGACCAATCTGCCCTAAGCGTCTATACAGGGTCTGCCTTGAAATTGTCGTACCAGTGGCTGAAGAGAGCTGACGAGACAGGTCTGAAGCTGTGCTCCGCCTGTTTCTTTTGGCAGTAACTGCCAAATACCGGTCTTCATTCCACGTTGTAACTCTGGGGCGACCTGTGCTGTAACGTCTACTCACATTACCATCATCTTGGAATCGTTGCTAAAGCCTGGAGATGACACTCTGGGCAATTCCAAGTTCGTCTGATACTTCTAGTTGGGTACGCCCACATTCCAGACGGCCGATAATTCTACCAGGTAAAAAATCATCCAAATGCGTCCTTTGTGTCATAACTATTCGGTTATTGCACTGAAATGCTTATAAAGCGCCTGCGAACAATTTTACTTCTTTGCCTGTATTCCTTATATATCACTCTCTTACACTCTCGTCATTGTGAGGTGCCATCGGTGACATCTGGTTACTTCCTGAAATTTGCATATGATTCTTGAAAATGTGTGTAGTGATTTTACAGGTGATATATTTATTTTAGAGTTCGATTTCCGCGTGACTCTGAATTATCCTTAATTTATGGATATGAGTGTATTATTTTTTATGACAGCTGAAGGTTATTTTCGCAATCCTTTTAACAAGTTACAGTCATTATGCACCGCTTTCATTCTTGTGGATTTTGTCTTTTCTAGGAAGACAATTTTCAGTCACTAAGCCTAGAAACGTCAAATTATGTTTAAAGAAGCATTTATCAGCGTTTGAATCTTGCCATACCTATTTAAGTCACCAAAGCTCAACATTATTGAACAAATCTGGCAATTCATGCAATAGCTGTAAAAGACAAGTTCTACACATAAGAATACAATACGATTAGGATCACTGTGCAGGATGCATTCTGTTTACTGCTGCAGAGTAAGTTCCACATATTCATGAAGTCTATTTTTCTGAAACTGTAGCTCCCATGAAGAGCCTTCGAAGTAAAAGACTGATATATCAGTTCTGGTACTGTAGCGTATTTACTGTATGCATTTGAAATAGCATTATACTTAATTAAGTCCTCGTTAATGTTTTTAATTGTTACAAAATATAGCTTCACGTTAGAATTCCCTCATAATTTATAGGAACTTTCAGTGTCCACTTCTAATTTTATAACTTTCACTGTTATCTCTAATGAGGTTTGTTCCTGGAATTAATCTACATGTAAAAAAGAAACCCTGTAAAGAATATTCTTCCTAATTCCCTGAATTTGACTTGTATTTATGTAATAAGCTGCATGAATCGCACACTAAAGCTTCATGGTGATAAAAATGTTTTCTGCAAGACTGGCACAACAAATGTTTATTTTCGAACCGACATCCTTCTAGCATTATTATTAGTTTTGTAGATCATAAAATATAGAAGTTTAGGTATTGGTAAACATGGATTTCTGAAGCGATTTTCGATAACAGCATTTATAACGCAACAATTGAAAAGTGCGCGCTAACTTTATGAATGTTACTGCGTGTGCCTTTCCCTTTACCCATGATTCAAAACGCTTAACTCATCATGCTGGAATGAAGCACATTTCTTTCTGCGTTTGGAAGCAAGAGATAACTTTCTGAAAATTTTCCAAATCTAAAAATATTTTTAAAGCTTTTTTCTAGTGCGTGTGTGTCTGTGAACAGAACGAATTGTACTAGCAAGCCTGCATTTGGATACTCACAAACAACGATATCTCCCTTCTTCAATCCAAATTTTCGGAAAGCAGCACCATACAAGGTGGCTTCTTCATACATTTCAGCGTAAGTGGTTCTTTTGGTTTCGCTGTCCTCACCTAAAATCAAAAAAGAAAAATATAATATGTATTTTTATCTTTTCGGCTACTCAATTTTTGATCAAATTTCCTTTTGTTTGTCCTATATTTTCGCCTTCGGGTCCTAATTGCATCCTAATTGACTTAGTTACCGCAAATGTCTTAGGGTATAATATTTAACTATCTTCTGTAAAATTTCTATGTAATTGTATGGCAATATTGAAAGAAACAATCAATCTGATAAGAAATGGCTGCGACTTGTTTTGAAAATGAAGCGTAAGAGGTTACCAACGAAGATATTCCGTTTGGCATTAGTTGCATCATTATTGGCGACTTTATCGTTTGCGCCGTCAAAACGGAAAAGTACCTAAAGTTTTTATAAAAATCAAGAAGAAAACTTGGATTATACATAAAGTGATCATAACAGAAATTCATATTTTAAATTCATCTAAAAGCAAAATTAGTGGATTTAAAAATTTTAAACTTAATAATATATATCATAATAAGCAAGAATCCATAATTTAAGATTTTGATATAAAAATTATAGTATGATATTTCAAAAACTTGAGAAAATGACATTTATTTAAGCATGCTGCATAATGCTAATGTTGTTACATATGGCTTTATTGGAAGGATCAACACAAACATATAAAACAGATCAAGTTTCACACAAGAAAAATTATATATAATAATAAAGAGCAAACATTTAAGGTAAAAACCAAAAACAAATGAACATAGGAACGAAAGTAAAAAGTTACAAAAAATTTAAACAACAAAGAAAGGAAGATAAGAGATGTAGTCTTTAAAAGGAGTTCTGGCATTCCAATATATTAGTTTAGTTAATTTATGGTTTGCTTTATCTCACCACGTTTCTGAGACCCTTTATCTAATTCTGGGCATATAAGAAGATGTTTTGCATTCATGATACCCGAATTACAAATTTGGCATATACTAGATGGAAGGATGCCAGTTTCATTAAGATGATGTGCCATGCAATCGTGGCTTGTCTGCAATCTGAAGTTTGCCCCAGCCTCTTTACGGGGTTTTTGACAAAACGTTTTTCAAGTGTCTTGAATGTTAGCCCAGGATTTTGCGTATTGATTTTATTCTAGGTCAGATTTAAGAGTATCCGTTAATTTTTCAAAAGCGTGACTCTGAAGGAAGCTGTCTTGTGGCTCAAGTGTTCCTCTCTTGGCTAATGAGTCTGCCTTTTCAGTTGGCAGACTCATTAGCCAAGAGACATTCCCGTCTGTTTTACCGTCAAAACCTACATGGGAAGAGATCCATTGATAAACGATTGTTTTGTTGTATTTATAAAGAAAATTCAAGGTTTGTCTTATTTCTGAGAAAGTCTGGGTATCTGTATCCTGAGTTATATAACTACAGTTTGGATGGCTGCTTTGGAATCGACTAGAATAGCTGTTTTTAGAGAAACGATGGATCTTTATCTTGATTGTTTTCCAGAAGCAGTGAGATTGCAAGGATTCTCTGTATTAAAATTTGACATGAAGTGTCCCACAGGAGTATATTGGCAAAAGAGTTTACTGTATACACCAGCCCAGGAGAGGCAATGTTACTCGCGTTCGTGATATCCTCAATTTACACGCGACTCCCTGGGTGGAACTAAATAAGTAACAACTGTGGCTAAAGCCGCTCAGAGTAAAGTTAACATTATGATAATTTACTTACTTAACTTCTTCGCTATATGCGAAGCGCCTCGGACAATAATGCGAAGTATTTCAAACAAATTGCATGTCTAAATAATTACAACATATTTGATCGTTAAGTTCACTGCTGCAATCCCTTGTATTACTCGTTTTAATTGTGGCTATTTGTCAATTCATATGACCCTTGCTTTTGCTGTTATTTTATATTCCACATGCTATTTAAGACAATTTTAAATAGATTACTTGAAATAGATCACAGAAGATTTGTGTACGTTTCAAAATCTTCCCAATGTATATTAATTTAAAACGCATTTTCATCCTAAGGTATTTCAGCTTGCAAAATATTTTATGACAACGCTACACTTTCGTAAAGCAGAAGAAAACGTGCATTCAAAAAGTGCAGCATTGCTATTTCTACTAAATCAGTCATGTCCAGTCGTTCAAATTAGTTATGCATTTCAGTTACAGGCATTTGCTTTATATATCTTCGTGCCAAAATAGTTTAGCTAATGGGCTGGATTTGTAACATCTTTCTTACTATAAGGGCGGCTCATTTTCACTTCCCTGGAGACAAACACTCAGTAATACATAAGCCAAATATTATTGATGAAAGTTCCTTCAACTGCTGACGCTAAATAGCAAAAGTCATATTTACTTTTTTGTTATTCGGCCCATATTTACATATGCCTCTCCAACATGGACAAATGGCAGCGAAAAGGATATCCAGTCTCTGCAACTAATACAGAATAAGATTCTCAGGATTATCACTGGAGCCCCGTACTACGTATGAAATAAAAATCTTCACGATGACCTCAAGGATAAGCTCATCTCTGAAATTCTGCGCAGACTTAAATTCAAAATTTTATTACAAGGCCATCAGAAATACGTCCGCCTGCCTTTCGGACGTTTTTGCCTATGAAATACTCGAGGAGAACAGAAATATCAGGCCCTACGCAGAATTTCTTTACGAAAGGTCAGAAAATACAGAGCCATGGCATCAGCATCAGACAGCGTTCCGCAAGGCCCGCATACTAGGAGTATTTCACTCAAATTAACTGTATTGAAAAGCATACCCAGGACTTTACTACTTTTGACGTTTGCGTAGTAGGATTCAAATGACTTTTCTCGCTCCTGTTTGGGCTTTAGTTCATAACACTCTCACCGCCAGTCTGCCTGCAGAGACAGCGTGTCTCATTTTATTAATCTCAAGTGTTCACATCTTTATGGTGAAACAATTATGAAGAGCCGTTATGTGTGAGGCCCCTAGTGGGATTCCGTGATAAGATCTGATAAGAGCAGGATAAATTTCTGCTGAATACCCAGAATACGCAACTAAAGCATCAATGGTTTAGAATGGTCCGGACTGGAGCGATGTGGATGACAGAATGTCGAAACGTTGTGTTCTCAGATGAGTCGCGCTTCTGTTTATGAAGTGACAGTCGCCGCATACGTCTGTGGCGTCGACTGTCACTGGCAAAGACAGATCTAATCCGACAGTAACTGTGGAACGTCCCACCACGCGACAACGGGCATAATGGTTTGGGGACTATTGCCTACGATTCCAGGTCACCTCTAGTTCGTATTCAGGGCACTATAACGGTCCAACGATACTTGGATAATGAACTACGGCCGGTGGCAAACCCTACCTTCAGGGGCTGCCTAATGCAATTTTTCAGCAGGATAATTCCCGATTACACAGTTGTCAACATGCTGTGCGAGGTATACAGATGCTTCCCTGGCTACCGTACTCTCCTGACCTGTCACCAATCGAACATGTGTGATTGGACGCCGTTTGCAGACTCTGCCCCTGCCTCGTTCAGAAGACGAACTGTGGCAAATGGTTGAAAGGGAATGGAGAGCCGTCAATGTCGAGCAGTGTATGATACTCCGCTTAGCTTGCTATGAGGGAAAAATAGGAAGCACAATACTTTTCTTTCACATATTCCAAAAATTTCCGAATTCCGGACACATTTCCGAATATTTTCCAGTTTAGATGCTATTTCTCAAATTATTCAGGCTTTATTGAAACTTTTCACCAAGTAGTGGCTCTTCCGAGATTTTTTTTAGCTAAATTTTGTTAACGAATCATGTTGTTCTTTGTAAACTAATTTGGTCTATAATTGTTTTCATTTTAGAGAGATATAAAAGGCGAACTTTTATGATTATCCTCTCTTTTAGGATAAATACATAAATTTCAGCATACGTGAAAGCTAGTACTTTTGTTGAATAAAAGTAGGAAACAATTATTAGTATGACACTTTTACCTGCCGAGATCAAAGCCACATGATCATCTCTAAATTTTAATAAGTTCTCAGCAAAATTGAGTCTTGCGCCTTCAAACCAAAGAGGAGAATCTTCCATGGGAATATTTAGATCAATCACCTGAAATATTGAGCAAACTTTAATTCAGGAATTTATCATATATATGTTAATAAATATCATGTAATGTTTATTATATGTAATTCAAATACGTATTACTCGTTTAATAAAAAGTTTTGACACAAAATTCTAAGCGATCTAATGTTTATTATATGTAATTGAAATACTTATAATAAACAGTTTTGACGCGGACAATTCTAAACAATTTAATGTTTATTATATGTAATTCAAATAAGTAACATAATTGCTAATATGTTAAGATTAACGTACAATTTTCTGAATGAATGACACTGAGCATGGAAAAACTTTTACTGTCATTAAAATATTAACGAAATTCATCAAAATAAACATTCCAGATTACAATGAACGGTGTAATTTAAACAGCTATCAAAGAAGTTGAATTCATGAACTTTAAGGAATGCATTGCTTCGATTCTTTGACTTACTTCACTGAAAATGTTATGCGATAACTCCTTTTCATGAAAATATCATCAAATGTTACTTGATATTAAATAAAAGGAATTATTTGGCTACTTTATTTAAAATCTATTTCATGATTTACGAAACATTTAAAATCAACAAAGACAAGCATATTATAAATATCCTTTTAAAATCCAGCTTGTTTCCTTACTTGATCAAAATTCTTTGAATAAATTATCCCTGCATTGTTCCATAATTCGGTCCAAAATTCTGGTAGATGTTCAACTGACCATTTGTGCAAATCCCAAAAGTCTCCTATTGAAATTAAAATAAAGCATTCTTTAATTCTTTTTACCTATGCACAACAGAAAAAGCAACCATAATATTATCCCTTATTAAATACTCTATTTTTTCTACGCGTAATAAAATAAGCATACTAAATGCATGGATATTATTACATAGTTCACAAAAATTCCTCGCAATTAATGCTCATAAAATGAACTAAACAATTTAGGATAAGCTTTTTTAAAGCATATCAGGCTAATACGGTTTGCTTAATAGAACAAGTGATGTGGAGCCTACGTCTTCCTTATATTGCCTATTGAATTATGCACGTTTTTGCTACATTTCATTTGAACTTATTTCCTAGAATTTCATTAGAGATATATTTCTCACTCAATTAATTCAGTTCTCCCTTCGCGGAAAAGCACAGACACATAAGAACTTAAAACACCTCTCTTAAAAACTGTAAAATACAGAAAAAATAAAACAACAAATACAGTTATATATTTTTAAAAGAAACAATTTTGCAATTAAAATTAGAGTCTCTGTGCAAAAACTAGCAATTCGGCCAGCGGGCAAGAAGGCAGATTTTTCGGTGCACAAAACTGAAAGTTTACTTTTGTCCCATTCCTCGAAAAGACATTGAAGGTGAAGAAACTGACTTAATTCACAATTCTACTGAGTTTCAAATGTAAAGAAACGGCGGTTTGTTAGGCTTAACTCGCCACTTAAAACTTTAAATTGTTGATAATTCTACAACTATTGCATGCACATTAACTAAAGCATAAAAACCTTAACCGGAACTTAAAAACCACATAATTCAGTTACTTTTAAAGCAAAAAATGCACAGGACAGGAACAAGTACAGGGGGCACCATATCATTGCCATGAGCAAAAATGATATGGTCCCTGTGTTCTACCTATCCGTATTTATTGAGAATTAAACAAGGTGACAGACAATCATACAGATATTATACATTTGGATATACATAGCTGCAAAAATGCACAATTTACCAACATATATGAATAAAAAAACTATGCTCACCGAGCCCGGTAGCATAATGGAAATATATATATAAGATTGGTGCAGCCAATTGCAGGGAAAATTTGAATTGCACAACTACATGTTACAGTAGTAACATATAAAAAATTTTAACCTTCTACGGCTAGTCGTTTTTGGGTAATGCGAGCGTACGTACGCACAAAAGTCAAGAATATCATCTGAACCCATTTTAAATCCATTTTACGATCCTTTATTCTGTCCGTACGTACAAACGTCACCCCAAAACATCGTTCAAATAATTTCGAGAAAGGTTGAAATGGATACTTTCGTTGAATTATGATATCCGAAAGCAAGTAAAAAGGAAAGTACAAGGAAGTAAAATGGTTTCGCTGCCATCATATCGATTAATAATTCAACTTCAGATTCAGAGTTACTTAATCTGTGGATTTTTAAAAATCCATCTGGTGTTTTCACCCTGCGAGAAATTTAAAAATCCATCTGGTGTTTTCACCCAGGAAGTCTGTTAATTAGTTTAATAATTATGCAGTTCTGATACAAAAATAAGAAATATATGCCGATATATCACACAAAGTAGATTGCACAAAACTGAAAATAGAAATAACCAGACTCTTCATCTCAAAGGACTAGTTGATAAGGGCAATACAATAAGAATCAGGTTATAAAATATTATCGCTTAGAGAGATTAACTACACTGGTGTGCAAAAATTAAGGACGAAGTCGAAAAATTAGCATATCAGCTGAACGAAGAGGCAGAGCGAACAGAAAGACCAATCAGGAGATTAAGTAAGGTGCTGTACGGTAGCACATGCGCAGATATGCAAATAGACGTAATGGGGGGAGTGTCTGAGTAGTATAAAGCATGTTGTCGGTGTAAGATCAGAATTTCTGTCAAAGAGATTGCATGCCGTATAGCAGTTAAAATCACACCGAGTTGCTGCCTCAGCGAGAAATGGCGAATAATCAATCTGTTAGACGACATCTGGATGCTTTTACCCGAGTTCGAATCATTGGGAAGTTGGAGGAAGGCCGCAGTGTGACAAGTGTGGCTGCAGAGTTCGGAACTGCTCACAGCATCGTTTCACGACTTTGGAGACAATTTCAAACTACAGGAACAGCTATCCGAGGGTTTAGTAGTGGTCGACCACGAGGAACCACACCCGCAAATGACCGGTATATTGCCTTACAGGCCAGAAGAAACAGGCGGCAGACAGCGGGAGAAATCGCTAGACACACGACACAGGCGACTGGACGACTGATATCGCGTTTTACCGTGGCCAGAAGACTGCACGGTGGTGGTCTGTTTGCACGACGCCCTGTACGGTGTGTACCTCTAACGCCTGCCCATCGGAGAAGGCGTTCTCTGTGGTGCCGGGAACACCGGAATTGGAGAGACAGTGATTGGGGACGAGTACTCTTTACAGATGAGAGCAGATTAAGTCTGAGTAGCGATTCGCATCGCATACTCATCTGGAGAGAGCGGGGAAGCCGCAATCATCCCTCGAACATCATTGAAAGGGACAGGTATGGAGGTGGCGGTGTTCTCGTTTGGGAGGCATCATGCTTGGTAGTCGTACATCATGCTTCACATCCTCGACGCAGGTTCAGTCAACGGGACCCGTTATTGTAACGAGATTCTTCTTCCATATGTGCGTCTTTTTAGAGGCGCTATGGGTCCGCAGTTCCTTTTCATGGACGACAATGCACCATGTCATCGCACAGTAGCTGCCGAACAGCTCTTAGGGAGTGAGGATATTGAACGTATGGATTGGCCGGCACGATCTCCGGATCTCAATCCCATCGAGCATGTATGGGATTTTCTAGGCAGACGCTTGGCAGCTCGTACCTTACCACCAGTAACGATTCCGGAGCTTCGATTGGCGCTGCAAGACGAATAGGCAGCAATGCCTCAACAACTCATTGACACCTTCATTCTCAGCATGGGCGTCTGCCCATGCTGAGAATGCTGTGAAACCTGCCTAGCAGTCAGGGGAGATCATATCCCCTATTAAAGACCGGATGTTTCTTGCTGGACACCCATCACAGGGATGTTTCGGCCTTCAGTCGCATTGCGCTCCATGCTACTTTTTCAATAAAGCTTCTTTTTATCCCTCTGATTTCTCTTTTAGTAAGTGTGCTTACATTACTCATATCCTTACTTATTGGGGATCTTACGGTATTAAATGTGTTGATTTGGAAAACTTTTGTACAAAGTTATATTGAAAAAAACCGTGTCGTCCTTAATTTTTGCACACCAGTGTATTTATTGGAGTAGATAACATGAAACATCAGAGATGCCTTCGGCGAGACTCAAATTCCGAAGCTCCTCATTGCCAGTCGGACGCAGGGTCAAAGAGAAGGGCTAGCTCATTTCTTTTGTGTGACTCCTCCTCGATGCGTTCCACGTAGAGGAAGTTAACAGGAAGTAATCTGACGTCACTATGTTGCATATGCTCTCAAGACTGTAGTTCTTTTCTACTGCGAAGCGATATTCCACCAATGTGGACATCCCAAATTAAATTTAATCACGAATATTGCTTTCTAGTAAAGCAGTGCCAAAGCCAAATTAGCGACTCACGTATTACTTTCTAGTAAAGTAAAGTCAAATTGGCGACCCGTGGGCCACATACGACCCTCGAAGTAATTTTATGCTGCCTGAAACATTTCCAGTAAATTAATTAGCATTATTATGACAAAAATTTGAAGAAAACATTTAAGATTTTAATAGCCTTAAGTTGTTTTCGTTATCAAAAGCTTCATTAATAATTTCCAAAACTTCGCAAAATCTAGAAATAGAACTAATTAATTTACACCGTGACATAAAACTTGTTCATAGATTTTAAGTTACAAATTTGATTAACTTTTATTAGCACTTGTCTAAAGATAAGTATCTTAAGTTATGAATTTTTGCAATAATAATACTCGCTTTGTTTTTGAGTACTTTAACACGAGAACATTTTTTTTTTTTTTTTTTTTTTGAAAATTAATAAGTCTGCGAAAATAACTAGTCTTTCAATCAGTATCTACAATTTATTATGATACTTTTTAGTAATTTCAAGATTACAAACTTCATGAATGTCGAAACGTCACAAGGTTTGTAGCTGAAAGGTGTAATAAACACCAAATATATTTACACTAATTTACATACAATTATTTTTATTTTCTGTCTCAGAAAAATCTAATAAATAAAATAAAGAGAATAGGTTGTTATTATTTATTCTCAAGCATGTCCCTTTTCAAAAGCTTTCGTATATTTCTTTCTACTTAAATTAACAGTCAATTACTCAGGCGTTCAGCATATTACGATTAGTTGAATAAATGCAAGTCTAAAAATTTTAATATTTAACTGTCTGTTTGAATTCAAAATTGTGAACAACAGAAATTTTTTGCAAATACTAACTTTTAAATTTCGGGCAAAATATAAGTATAAATTTGGTATTTTCTTTTGCGTTATTATTATTTTTTTTTTAATATTTAGGAAAATCTTTAATCAATAGTGGTTTTTTTGTTGTTGTTTGTTTGTTTGTTTGTTAAAAAAATTTCAGTCCCCGCCGCCTTTTTTTTCTTTTTATAACTACTGCCCGTCAGATACTTTCAAATTGTGCATTGGCCAGTATGCAATAAGTTTTAGACCACCGTTGTAAAGAATCGTTTACGTAAAACGTCTTCTTGCGTTACAGCAAAGTGCCATAAAATTCAAAGAAATGGGAAAGAGGGGGGTACTGTATTCTGTATTTTTCCAATTGCTTTTGACGAAAAAAAAAACCTTTTTGGACAATTTGCTTTTGGCAAAAAAAAAAAAAAAAAAAAAAAAAGGCTACATGTGGTCGAAGACACGATTCTATTAACGTGAAGAAAGTAAGAATGCGCAGCGAACATTTTCTATGCAGTAATTGTGAAGATGACATGAAAAATCATTTGCTTGGATTACCGCAAATGAAGCTATTAAAATCCGATATTGTGCCAAAAAAGAAAAATAATGCAGAGTGCTGATGAAAATCTCCTTGCATTAAGGTTGAAGAAAAATTATTTTGAGGCCGATTGCGAAAATGATGAAAGGAAGAATAAATGAGATAGGCATGATTCTAAAATAGAACTCACAAATAACGGTGCAAATACTGCAGAATGCTTAGTTGTAAAAATAAACAAGAATGCATTGATAATGTGTAAAAAGAAAAGCTAGCTCGGCATTTTAGGTACTCTGTAATCGTATAATATCTCTTTATTATATTAATCGGAGGAGAAACACGCAAATATAACACTTATAATAATTAAAAAAAGCAATTTCAGATTAAATTAAATTTTGAATAAAACTATCAGTTTTAAGAGCAGTCAAACAAAAATTCCTCTTCTTTAGCTGCAGAAAAAAAAAATGACATATATATTCAAAAGTACGCTAAACTAAGGAATTTTTTTTTTTTTGGTCTAATTTTAAAAAGTTGTTATTATAGTTATCATAGAAAGAGTAATAGACTTGTCCTACTTGGTATGTAGATGATGAAAAGATAATGAATGCCATAGTTTGTTTCTTCATGATTTAATAATAAATGCGCAGGGAATAAAAATCTGCAACTTTTAAGAAAACGCAGCGTATTTTATCTATTATTTTAAAATTAATAAATAAGTATTATTAACTTTTAAAACTTTATAAATGTATACAGTAATAACATCTTCTCTTCTAAATTAAAGCTATTTTTTCATGCACGGATTTTTAAGCCTGTTTTTTCAAATTTAAAACGTTTATTTCTTCGCTGGGACTTGCGTCTTTGCAGTGAGTTTCAACATGACTGCCTCATCACTCCTCACTTCCCGTTTCAAAGGAAAAAGCTCTATGAACTAGCCCTTCTCTTCTATCCCGAGTCGGACGGGCTTTCAATTACTCCTTGTAGGCACGCAGTAAATTGGAAAATTCCTTACATCCCTCCTCACTTAAAAGGCCGGCTGACGAGAAGAAGATTTAATTGTCAAATCTACTTGGTGACGAATTATTACCAACCGCATTTTAGTTCTGACGTCACTTTTAAAGCAGTTAGATATTTATCAGAGCAGTTAACATGAAATAGTATCAGTGATGTCCTTGTCTAGATACAAACCTCCGACCTCCTGACTACCAGACGAATGTGCTTCCAAGTACATTCATCTGGTAGTCGGCAACGCGTTAAGGAAAGAGAAAATTATTTACAGAGTTACCTTATAAAAATCTCAAAACAAGCGAGACATTAATCAGTATCATAACGAATCCAATGCAGTCGAACGAAAATAAAGTCTAACGCCTTTACAGCAAACTGATATGCTTACATGCTTCCAATGGATGAAGATAAGTATAGCAGAACCTCGATCTAGGCAAGTTGTGTGTTCCTATTTCCTCCACATAAAAACGCGACCAGAATCATAGTTCAGGCTGCATCTAGACTTGTTAGTAAACAGTACACAACTCCATTTCTGTTGGCTTTACTGAACAGGACGGCGTCAACAACTTAAACCGGCTCCTTTGGAGAATATAGTGGGTGGGATAAAAACCATTGATTTTCTCACATAAATTTCAATCTTGTAAAGCCTTCGTGCAACTGTAGAATAGTTGATTAGAGTTTCTGTAGCAACCTGAAAATAAAAAACTTTCGTGTCCTTACACGGCTTTTTCGTGATGATAATAGTAGAAAATAGTTTTCGTATGCAGTTGTTGCTCTTGGGCGCTCTTGACCAACCTGCCTACTAACGGATTCCCGTATCGTTTTCCCACTCGTGTAATTTTGATCTCAGTTTTATAGCTTTTTATAAGTAAGGTAAGGTACTTTTTCTCGCATCTCATATTCTCCGACTCATCGTTTTGTAAGCAGGTGTCACCATACCGGTGCACAGCCGGTGTGGTAGTTACTGACCCTGACTGCTGTAGCGATGGACCTGGGTTCAAATACCGAAGAAGTCTTTCTTACTGAAACAACGATAAATTAGACGTTGAACACAGAAACAGCTTTATATGTTACTTGATAAAAAATTTGTCGCAACACATGCTGAATGATAAATTCCGAGAAATGAATGGATATCAGTTGTAGTTACAGCCTAAAGCACTCTTATTCACAGATAAAAATGCAGCGGTAAAACCTTTTGAAGAAAATGTCACGAAAGGGAAGTATCGTTTTCCCCCCCAAAAAAAAAAAATAATAAAAAAAAAAAAAATAAATAAAAAAAAAAAAAAACTGACGATGAAACTCTCGCAGTTTTAAAATATTGTGTCGTGGGGAAAAAATAACAATAAAATGTTTCTATTTCTAAGCATTTTAATTCAAACCATCTCGAGGAAAACAAAATTGCAGTGCCTGCGACTCATATCCAAAATATTAAACTTACTTAATTTAACATTGTATTTAGATTCTATCGAATTTTTAAACTGTTTCATTTCAGCTGCGGAATCTTCGGTTGGTTGCCACACCATCTCAACATTGCTGAAATTCCTTTGATCCATTTAAACCTGTAAGATACTTACAATTAGTAACCACAGTGATATTACTATTTTCAAATACTGATATGAACTGTTATAACTTACAGAGAATTATAAACTTTATCAAAATAAACAGCAGAATTTCGAAATTAAGCCTTAATCTCCTCTTGGGCGACACAAATATTTACAAATTAACGGAGAGAAGGATATTGATTTTTTTTTAAATTCTTACGATAACAAAACTTACTGTGGTACAAATTAGATGTTATTTCGCTTTTATCTGTTTCGGAACTCTTTTAAAGCGGCCATCTGGGTTACTCACCACAAAACTACAAATTTAATTGCCATTCTGTAGTCTGTAAATTTCAAACGTCACTAAAAGAGAACGTGTTAGACAGCAAATAACATCCGTACTTTTTCCAGGGCATGGTTATACACAGTACGTCAACAGGGTTTAAGATTTAATGTTTTTAAAGATTCCATCAAAGGAAATTTCCAGTATTTATTACTACGGCATATAAAGTTAGTTTTCCTATAATATCGCAGCTTGCCGAGGAAATTTTCTGCGTAGTTGATCATTTGATCTGACCCAGTGTTCATCTATTGTCATGGATTCTGAAAGTGAGCAAAGAACCGCAATAATGTTTTACTGTAAAGCAGGAAAAACAGCGATGGAAACATCTAAAATATTTTTTGAAGCAAATGTAAATCAGACATTTACATGATCCAATGTTTTTCTTCGGTTACGGGCCCGAAGATGTTGATGATGAGTCTGAAACAGATGAGAACATTGAAAAGTTGGGGAACACATGCTGAAAAATGGTCACCTATCTCTTCGAATAATATCTAATATGAGCTTAGTAGCACTTCCCACAAAACTACCATATAAGACATTGAAAAACGAAGCACTTGTTCCCGTTTTTGGTCTATCACTCATTTCACTTATCTTAATTTTTTTCATACAAATTTTCACTAGAGATGAAATTTGGTGCTTTGCATATCAACGACGATGCTTCTAAATGGCAGTCATCTCGTTGGACAGGAGAAAGCTGACCGTGATCACACAAACTTCAAAAATCTTAAATAAAGACAATACTGAGGGCTATTTTTGATTGTAAAACAATAATTCATAAGAAATTTGCTCCTGCAAGACAGGCGGTGACTCTACTTTATAAATAGGTAATAGATAGACTTCTGAAGACGATTCAATATCCTAATGTGAAGAAGTTCAAGCTAATAACTAGTTTCTGCTGCGCAAACAATGCGCCATTACAGAATTCTATTCTCTTCAACCAATTTCTAACGTAACGTATGTAACATGTAACGTATCGCAATTTTCAGATCTTACTCGCCAGATTTGGCACCTGCAAACTACTCTCTGTTCCCTAATATGAAATCTCACTCAGTATTATTATTTTAAAAATACTAAAAAAATTCCGAAAATCACAGCAATCAAACAATTGAACAGCACTGCAAAGGATGAGTTCTGCGAAAAAATCATGCACCTGTAACAAGGTGCAAAGAGTTGTCAATTTACAATTCCTGAAAGCTGATAATAATTGGCAAATGAAAAGATTATTTTCGCCAACTTTCTATTTTTTACAAATTTAGCCTTTAATCTTTATAGAAGCTTTGTGTAGATTGAAAAGAAATATTTTTGTTCTGTAAAACAAATTACAAAACACACTTTTGCAAAAATATTATTTAACGAAATTAAAAGTCTGAATCACAATTCACTTCTGTTTCCACTAAAATAAAACCATAGAATTAATTTTAATTTAACTAGACCAAAGGAACACAAAACTAATTATGAGCTTTGTTTTTATTTTTACTAAAATTAAATAATGAAATTGTTTTAAATGGTGTAAAAAATATATATCTTATTTTTCTGCAACTTTTCTTTATCATCATTCTGCACTTTCATCAGTGAATTACAGTTACTTTCATTAGTGCAAAATAAGAAAACTGCTTCTCAATTACATTTTACTAACTGTATATTGACGAATGATATCGAATAATATAAATGTAGTTCAGATTCACCTAAATTAATTATATACATTTTTTAAAATCACGTGTATTTTTTGGCATTTATTTATTATTTTGTATGCATTTCAATGAACAAAAAAATTTAAATTAAACTATGTGTAACTACACCTATTCGAAAACGGTAATAATAAACTGCAAGAGAAAATTTTACAAATAATTAGGCATTCATCAAAGTTAAAATAAACTGAAAAGAATGCATTAGGTACTTTTTCCCTCCTTTCCGCATGCCTTCATGATGTAATTGGGTATTGGTTAGGTTTATTTAATCATGTCAAAGCACACTAGAGCTATCTGCCTAAGGGGAGGGATGCCTTCGTGGAGGACTTTCTAAGGGAAACTGGCTCGTATACACGTTACACATGGGAAAAACCACGAAAACGCCCAAGCAGCCAGCCCGTTCGCGGGATTCGAACCTCGGACCGAACTACCAGTGTTCAGCAGCTTTACCGCTCGGACGCTGGGGGGCCGCGATGTAATTGGGAGCAAGCTCGACTCGTATTTGAGAGTTCCAGAATTCGATTCCCGGCGAGCGCAAAGCAGATTTCTTCAGTTTCTTTGCTTCAAGAAATTCTAAAATGTCTTTTCAAGTGGCACCCGAACTAAAAAGGGGTGGACAATTATTCGTCACCACCAGGATTTGGCGACTGGGTGTCCTAATCTCAAGTCGCGTTTTAAAAGGGCCTGTATGTAAGGTATTTTATCCCTTCTTTCTGCACGCCTTTGTGGTGCAACTGGAAGCCCGTTCAACGCGTATTCGGAAGGTCTCGAGTTCGAAACTCTGAGAGGATATTGCAAATTTCTTCAATTTCGTGTCTTCAAAAATTTCTAAAAGACTCTACAAACGTAATCAATGCATTTCTTTTTTCTAGTTTTAAAATAGATACATGTTTGTGTCATGGTCTTCTATTTCGTAACCATTAAGAATATTTTTCAAACCAATGCCTATTTACCCTGTGCTCAATAAATATGTTACTGAATACTGCAGCTTAAACAGTTCGTCATTACTGAGATACAAACATCCTTTAATATCCTGCTTACTGTTCTAGATCGGAAAGCTTATTATGCTACTATGTATTTCGTCTTATTAAGTATTGTATATTATTAAGTACTGTACAATGCGTTTATACGTTTATTTCGCTGTACTTCAAAATATAAAAACATAATACCATTTATGAATATGTGCTTTACATTATTAATTTATCCCACGGCCAAAGCCACTGAATTTTGCTATTTCGAGTCGGATCTTGGAGAAGGGCTGTATGGGCGTTTTCATAGTTTCCCCATGTGCAATGCGAACAGGTGTAATGTGAGTAAATTATTCTTAAGAAATGTTCTACGAAAACAATCTTTTCATTAAATGGATAGCTGTAATATGCTCAATGATAATCGGGTAAACACAATTTGGTACTTTTCCGTTTTGCCGGCGCAGGCGATAAAGTCGCCAATAATGGTACAACCGATGCCGAACGGAATATCTGCGCTGGTAACCTTTTACGCCTCATTTTTCAAAACAAATCGCAGCCATTTCTAATCAGATGGATTGTTTCTTTCAATACTGGCATACAATTACATAGAAATTTTACCAGATAGTTCAATTTTATGCCGTAAGGCCATTCGCGGTAATTAAGTCAATTAGAATGCAATCACACCGCTCACTCAAAGGGCAAAAATATAGAAAAGGTTGACTCAAGGTTAAATTCATCCATTCTAATGAGAATACACTAGCGAAGTAAAGCACTGCGGTTTTACATAGTTTCTGAGTAAGCTATTCGTACGAATTGAAATAATTCTTGCATTTACACTTGTATTCCAAATTAGAATTTAACTTGAAATTAAATGTAGATAATAACTGACAGAATTAGATTTTTTGTAGCATAGTTTACGTGAGATGAGATCACTTGGAGTCACGTGTTATGAAGCGGCGAATCAGGATGATGAAACATGAAAGCATAGTACATTCTTAAATTAATTTCTTTTTACAAATTTATTGTTTTTATTTATTGTCTTCTTACAGAATTTTAAACGATATTAAAATTTTTATGCCTTCAAAATATGAAGTTGTCGCCAATAAAGTCTGCTTCGGTACGTTGACATATATACAAGAAACCCATAAACCATTTTTGTACGTCTTTGTTATAGCAGACCCCTACCATATTTGGGAATTTTAGATTTGCGCCAGATCCCAGCTACAATTTCACCAAGCTCGTGAAAAGCGAATGCAGAAATAAAGACCACAGTATTAAGAATCCTTATCCTTATTATTACTATTTTATGGCATGTAATTGTTCCAGCGAACTGCAGCACTTTCCCACAAATTAAGCTGTTTGCTACACTATTTCATAAACGTTAACTCCTCTGCCCAAAAATACATAAATCGAATAGCAGTGACGAATGATATCCTGGAACCGACGAACCAATTTTCAAAATGGAGACCCTTCTTTTTGCAATTTTAACATTGCATCTCCAAATGATTTCGTCATTAACATAAAGCTTTCTGTTGTGGCCATTTTCCCATATTGGTTTGTCAGGTAAAAGACCTTTTCTTTGAAACAATTATATGGCATCTACCTCATTACTTGGTAAATGAAAGTTTGTTAATGTCTCGAAAAACAAGCAGTGAATGTATTTTTATATAAACAATGCAAATTCGAAAACCTCATCAAAAATGAATAATATAAGAGCATGGGGGCGAGAGCAGAAATGCAAGATAGCGCTAATATACGATTACATGGCCAGGTATAAGAACACGCAGCCAGCTTTTGGCGAGATATCTCGGTTTATTAGCGATTCGTTGTCGAGAGCCGGTATATCAGAGGAGTACCCAATTTTTCTGCTTTAAACATATTTAGAGGTATTTCTTTATGAGATGTTTTATTCCTTTAATCAGAATCACTTTATTATTTTCTTTTTCTTTAATAATGAAACCAAAATTTATGTTTGATTTTGTTTTTCTGAAAGCAATCATATTGCTTTTAACTATATAAACTCACACTCTCAGCTCATGAGATTCCTTTTTTTTTTTTTTTTTTTGTTTGTTTGTTTGTTAGAAAGAATGCAATGAATAATGAATTTCAATGTTTTTTAATTTTATTTAGTTTATTTTTGTAAAACCGGTATAGAAATCAACGTTAGAATCTCTATTATTTAAATATGAATCCACAGAACATCTAGAACGGCAACAACATGTTAAACATAAATATTCCGGTTAAAATGAATTATATAAGCAATTTAGGTTACCTTTGACCAACAGTAATACTATCCGTTCAGCTGCCAACTTAAATTCTTAGTTTGGGCCATTCATTTAGCTGCATATGTCATTATTAATTTTCAGCGCTAGTTGTTGGATATTATCACAGTAGTAATATTAACAAATTTACATAAAAATACCTTACATTAACTTTTCATCTCGAAACACATTTTTACTTTTGAATTGCTTAAACTCCAGCACGCAAGAAACACGATAATTTTTAAACAAACAGTGAATGAAAAAACATCAAACTTGGAATAAATAACAAAGTAAATACATAAATTTCTACGTTACTCTAAGTTGGGAGGTTCTGTATCCTAACGGCCACTTCCTTATCTCAGCAAATAATGAGTTCTATTGTTATTCTGACTTGAGAGCTAAGAGTAAGCAAGGTGTTTCTACGTAATCAACAGTTTAAGAGATAACACAGGAATCACTGAAAATAGAATGTAAACAACTTCAATGTATCTTATTTATTCCTGCATTTAAAAAAAATGTTCGCATGGAAAGACTTCAATGTTTTAAATTAATAAAAAAAGGAGAATTTAAATTAAAGAACAACAAATAACTTACAGTCAAATAAATAAATTTGTATGTTACTTTAATTTGGAATGTTTTGTATCCTAACGACCACTTTCCATTCACTTATTTGAGCAAATAAGAAATCATTGTCTGTGTGTGTTGTGTGCGTGTATGTTTTTTTTTTTTTTTTTTTCCCTTTTCTTCTTCTCTTGAACTTTCGAGTTAAGAACAGGCAAGGTGATTCTACGTAATCCAGCAGTTCAAGAGATAGCATAGAAATAATTGAAAATAGAATATAAAAAGTTTCAGTAACATCTCATTTGTTCATGCATCTTAATGTATGTTGGTAATGAAAAACTTCAAGCAATATTATAAACTATTAAAAGGAGACTTTAAATTAAAAATTGGATAAATTTAAGTTTTTTCGAATACAGCTACTTCAGCGTTTCTCAAAACATGGTCCTCGAAGCACGTCTTTGTGGTTTTCCTAGATTTCTAAAAACGATACAAAATAAAATTCAAATTAACAGCGCATACCATGTTATAGCTGAAAATCTAAGAGTCTGGAAATTACACATGGGAATCTTCTGTCACTTTTTCTCAGGTCTTAACATGTTATGTAATTTATTACTAGTTACCCTAACTGCGGATTTCTTATTCTGGTTTAGCAATAAAAGAGAGATAAGGGTGCTTCTTACTAGTACACATTCAAAATGCTAGATTCTAAATGCTAGATTCAAAATGCTAGAACGGCAAGCTCGTTCAGCTCTTCAGTTGGAGTATCAAAATTTATATTATTTTTCAGATTTTTTAGATTATTAAGCGTAAGATTATCCAAACTCTTTATAATAATAACCCTGATTAATAATTAAATGTTATCTTCTATTAGCATAATTACTTAGTAAAATTATGAAACTGAGCAACTTTTTATTAAATATATTTTTAATATATAAGTATATTGTTCCTAAGATAGGCTAAAAAATTGCTTTCGAAGGAGAGGATTAAGGTGGTACGCAGGACATTCTATTTCATAAAAGTAGTTCCCACTTGAAAAATGTTTGAGAAACGCTGAGTTATTTGATTAAAATTAAAATTCATCCTTTCTTTGGTAATCACACATAGACAATATCTGATCTCAACATTCCTTTCCTTTCCAAAAAAAGATGCTCAGATGAAAGGAAAAAATTTACGAGCGGGACATTTATATGGTTGTCGCAATGTCTTTTTTCGTGTTAAATTTTAAAATATTTATGTGGAACCTCAAATAAGACTCCTTTAACCGTTTTAAGTGAAACAACCTAAATTTGAAATCGCATAAGAAAAATGTCATTGTTCCTAAATATAATTACCATTTATTTTATTCAAATTTTGAAATTCTTTCTTTTTACATAGATTTTAGTGATCTTGCTTAAAAAAATGATAAAAATATTATATCGAGTTATACTTTCATCGAAATCTGCTTTGAAATTTTCAGACTAATAAACTTCTATTCACATCGAGTGCCAAACACATTACAATTTCAACTGAGGTTAAATATTTCAAATGAGTTTCGGTACCTCACCTGAAGTTCCATATACGTAAATGATGTTTAATTTATAATCGAAATGCTGAAAAATGCACTGTGGCCTTGAAATGTTGCAAATTGTAAATGCATCTAATATTCTCAACGTACTAAAAACCATTGCTTAATCTACTATTCCTTAAACGGGCTCTATAATCTTATAACAAACTGCAGCTGAACAAAATCATTCCATCCAAAAGTATTTTATTATATAAAGTGTTGAATGTTTTTCAACCTTCTCAATATTGCGCTAAAAGTTCAAAAACGTAATGCCGTACTTTGCTATAGCGTCTCGAACCGATTTGGCGATTTTAGATTTCCACCAAGATCTGAGCTATGATTTCAGCAAGCTCGTGAAGCGCGACTATAAAAATAAACAACAGAATATTATAATGACAACAATAATACTCACAATGTCGTTCCCTAAGAGTACTTTTAAGAATCCTTATTATTATTATTCTATCGCATGGAACCGCTCCAGTCAACTGCAGCATAAGCTGTTGGGGAAAGTGCAAAATCACCCACGTGGGTGATTTTGGTTCCACGTGGGTGTAGTGGTTCTGTACACTGGGCCGGTATTCCAGAGGTCCGTCTTCGTTACGGCGAAGGCAGTGTAATTTTCATGTTTTCCCTTCAAAAAATACTATGTCTCATACCAATTTTAAAAAAAAAATTCGTTTCCGAATAAATATATCTATCTATTTTACCTATATTTGTAGTAGGGTTTGTAACGGTAAAGTAATTTAATGTAATTTATATTTTTATTAAAAAAATTGTTATTAGAATTTGCAAATTTCTAGAATGAATCATTAAAAAAACTTCCCATGACTAATAAATTTTTAAAAACTCAGAAAAATAGCAGTTAAATAAAACCAAAAAAAAAGAATCAATATCAATCCATAATAGGGGGAATGAAAGAAGGTAGAAAAACTTAGTAAAAAGACAAGAAAAAATAAAGAATGTGAAAGTTTCAGAGGTGAAGTGTCAAAAAAATTAAAACTTGGTAAATTGAGAACAAAGATCCTCAAAGGTTTGACAACGCAAGTCCTCGACAAGGCGAATGAATTCCTCAGGAGGTGAAATTGGTGAACCCCTAATGACATCGAGAATCAACATCTCAGACATCGTCATATTCCGGGACATAGCGCCTTAAATAAGAATCCTCAGGAGTGAAATTACGATATCACAGGACAGCTGAGGAATCGCATCCTAGGACACCTAAGTATGTATCGAAAATTGGCGACTTAAACAGACATCTGGGATGTTGGTGCTATGGGGGATGCTGCGCGTTTTAAGATTGCCATTACTCGGTATCAGCACACATTGACCTACTTTTACTTAAAAATGCATCCCAGAATCGCACAAAAATGGCATTGCGCACAACCTTGACTTAAGCTTGACCCATTTTTACTTAAAAAGTCAAAGCAAACTGACAAAAATCCAATTCTTCTTTCTCTGTAAAAAGCGCCAAACAAATAAGTGGACGATTCTGCACTTTACCCAACCTGTTTGATACACAATTTCATGAACGTCAACTCCTCTGCCCAAGAATACATAAAACTAATAGCAGTGACGAACGGTACTCTGGAACTGTTGAACAAAATTTTCAACACGAAGACCCTTCTTTTTGGCACTTTTAACACTGCACCTCCAAATGATTTCAATTACCATAAACAACTCCCAGATGTATATAATTGGTAATGTTCGATTCACTATTAGAAGTTCTCACAATTAAAAAAGTGCCACACGACAAAAATAACTATGTAACAGTATAATTTATAAGTACACTGCGGACAAAAAAAGAAGTGAGACAGTTCTATACCTCTCGTTCTACTGGGCCGATTGACAAAATTGCGTTTTTCATGTCTCGAAAGCGCGACTGAGGATATGTATTAGATTTGTATATAGCATTGTTTTACTATTCTGCACAAATTGACCTTTAAAATAGTCCTGAAATTTCAACCTCAAGTTAATGAATTTATATATACGTATACATCTCTTTTCTTAAAACTTACGTAATTCGGTCGGCCAGAATTCGAAATTAGGCGTATCAAAGAGAAGGCAACGGGGGGCGGGGGATTTGAAAAAGGGGTATTTTTAAGTATTTAGATAAATAACACAGGAGTTTTAATAAATATTTATATAAATTTTATATAACCTAAAATATTTACCATCATCTTAAGTAGATGTATTCAAGATATTGCAAAAAATAGAGTTTTTATTAAAATTCTAAATTACGGAATTTCTATTTTGACCGTTTTTGAAATTTGGCGTATTTATAAGCGATTATAACGAAAATGTAGTTTATGCACTTTGTTTGGTTTAAAATATTTGACGAATTAAACGATGGAACTTATTTCCTCTGGCATCAATAAAAAAGGAAGTGGGTGACTATAAAATTAGAATTCGTAAGTGAATGTTCTTGGCAACTGGAAAAATCCGCAAGAAATTTTTTTTAATTTCTCGCTAATATTCACCAAAATTACAAAATTAATATTATGCATAAGTGAGTTGTAGAGAATTGAAACATGGAAAAAATGATGTATTATTAGGAAAAGCCGATTGGGGTCAAAAATCGATGTAAAATAAGATATATAAATTAATATATCCTAAGTCACGTTTCGAGACATGAAAACAGCAATTTAAATTTCGTCTTTCAATAGGCCAAAGACGGGGGGAGAAAACAAGGGATGCGTCGTGACGCGCCACCGCGGAGAAAGAGAACGGACCTGCTGAGATCAGACGCTAGTACAGCCGGGATGGGCCAGGAGAAAGGCGTAAATGAGGAGACACGATGGGGTCACACGCTAATCGAGAAGACAGTAAGAGGCACCGACGCGAGACGAAGCCGACTGATACCACATTAGGAGTAGCCCATTGGGAGTAAAACACTGGCGCGCTCCCAGGCGCGATGGCGAGAAGGAGAGAGGATGAATAAAGGGGCAGGAGGACCATCGACGAACTGAAGAAGGAGCGGAAGCTCGAACCACTGAAAAAAGGGGGGGGGAAGACTGACTCGTTAGTGCAAAGAAAAAAGGGAAGAGGGGGGGTGGGGGCGAGCAACCCACAGGAGAACAGCTGAGGACATAAAAAATGGATAGATAAAAAATGGGGAGGAAAGACGGAGGAAAAGAAAACAAAACCGGAGAGATGAGAAAGGAATGAAAAAGGAAAAAGCGGAAAATAAATGTGCAGAAAGAGGGAGTAGAAGAAAGCAAAAGAGGATAGAAGCAATGATAGAAAATTAAAGGAATATTAAAAAAATAATAAAATAACCGATAACGGCATCCTCTTCAATCAAATCAACCTAAGAACGGCAGGGGCGCAGGCGCACTGAACGCCCGGTGGAAGAC